TCTTTATTTTATTTTAAATTTGCCTATGGGACAAAGCACCGTGCAGCGTCTTCCCTTAAACAAACTGTAGAATAATAACATACCTATTTGCAAGTTTCTTTCCATCTTTAGTTGATTGCACAAACCTGTCAACGCCAGTTTAATCAGCGGTTGAAGCGATATTAAACACTCATTAGCGATTCATCTGTGCCTAATTAGTAAGCGAATTGAGGCATACACGTGACTACGAGGGAATCTAGCGCGCGTAAAAGGTAAATCCGTGGGAAGAGCACTCCTACGCATCTAAATATACAATTAAATTCTCGTTTTAAGGTAACGCTATAACCACATTTACATGTATCTATACAAGCGACCTCTGTCAAATTACAACGTAATGAAAAAGGCTTTAGGGAAGAAATTTTAAGATACCATTAAGTCGGTATATACATATGTATGTATGCAGTACATAAGTTTCGCTTTATTCAAGGCTGCGTGCACATACGTATGTATCTATTACATATACAATCATCTTAATGTTGCATGATGTATGTAAATATGTTTGTCGCCATACACTTTCTAAATAAATTTGTTTAGCTTACAAACACTGGTACTATCCCCGGGTTCTATGGCTACTGATACATACATCCAACGAAGTGCATATCCCATTTATGCCCGAAGTTGAGGTGTGAAATTGCGATACATAATATCTAGGATTTCATACGTATTTTAAGTTCAACTAGATATTCCAAAATATTTACCCATACGCACCTAAATCCGCATCATTTCCGCTCGTTTTCCGGCTAAGAGTATCCTTGGAAAAAATATCCTGTCCTGCGGCAAGGATTCTCGTCTGGATGTATGTGTGGGTAACATTTCCTACAACGTAGTACATAAGAAACGAAAGATGTGGACAAATACATGGTAATGTAGAAACATCATTTTTAATATAGAAATTTAATATTGAGAGCTTTGAGTTACTTATAGACGTTACCTCAAGAATGTTGAATTTCACTTTAATCAATAATTACAATTATATACTACTTTTGTTAAAAAAAATCGCTAGTTAAAATCCATCTAAAAACTATTCTACATCACGCGTGCCACCCTGTGTTCGTTTAAGCAGTTGGCGGCAAGTACCGTTTCCTGTCAGTTTATTTTTCCGCACGTGCTAAAATTCTGCTGAAAATCTGCTGCCAGTGAAAAATTGTAAATTTGTGGCTAAATATTGTTGCTAATGCCGTTGTTTTGTATTAAAGTGATAATAGCGCAAGTTGTCTCGAGTGTAAAAGCAAACAATTAGTGCTAGCTGTAGTTTGTGTGTGTTTATTTTGAAAGTGAAATTAAGGAAGCGTCACAGTCGACGCTATCAAATATCTATGAAAATAAAATGTAAAAATGTGTGGTTTAAAGTGAATGAGAATGTACATAAACTAATTTTAGTGAAAAGGAGCAGTGTTGCAGCTACTTTGCTGATAAATTGAAGGTGAGTTACTTTTATTTCGAAGTAGTTGATTTCTTAGAGAAGGCTCGTGCAAAGTGTATTTGTGAGATTACCTACGAAAATTGTTCCATGTTTGTACTTATGCATTTACTATTCATAAAATTGTATTTTCCGATAAAAATGACTTTGGTCATTTATTCTTACACCTTTTTATGTAGTTTTTCATTGGTTTTTCATTATCGGGCACGCATCCGGCAGGCGACATTTTTGTTGAGAATTTGTAAAGGAAATCACCAGTGCTCTTCCGGTTATTGAAGAGAGCGCATAACAGTCTTATTTGCTTAAGGAAAATACATTTGCACGCAGTACATTGTACATACATACATATGTATCTACACTTGTGGCCACGTAAACCTTATTACACTTTTTTTTAATCAAAATTTTTAGGGAAGCGTATTTAATAATGTATAATAAAGTGCAAGTTGGCAGTATGTACATGCTTATGTATGTATTAGGGATGTTTCGAATATCATATTTTTTACATTCAACTTAAGTCATCGTTTTTATTACTTAAAAATTTTGTAAATTATTGGAACATTGAACGAGTTCTTAACCTATACAGTGTTTTAATCTAGTAGTCAAAGTTAAAAAGGGCATATTACATTTCAAAAAAAGTAATTTTGCTGCCTTTTCTTCCATGAGGCGATTTCTTAGAGGCTCGTATATAAGGCTGGCTGCACTGAACAATTGCTCACTTGGAACTAGAGCTCTAGATACCCGGGTATCGAGCAATGCGAGTAGCTCGATACTCGCGCGAAACTCGTTCATTGCTCAACTGCTCAAATGTTTGTTTAAAATTTTCGAGTTTTTGAACAATTTCATAAACAAAAGAAAATTTGTAAATTTTGTTTGTCAGCAGCTGCTTTCTAATTCATGTTAAATAAATTATATTATTAAATACCAATGAAACAATAGCCGTCATCGATTCGCCACTTCTCGCTCGCTATGTTTGAGTTCCGGTCGCTTAAAGAAGAATTTTGCGTGTGAAAGCTACCAAAAATGTCAATATAATAAAAAAAAACATTGCTAAAATTTTTCGAAAAAACTCGAATTGCTCGAGCTCATGCTCGAAAATTTTTGAGTAATGAGCATTGAACAAGTGTGCGAGTACTCGCTGCTCATATACCCAGGCTGTTTGAAAATGTGCGAATAAAATCGAGAGCTCTACTTGGAACGCTGGCGGGTGGATCGCTCAAATATTTGCGGGCCAGATCTGTCAATTTGTCGTATTTTAGTTTAGTTTTCCACCAATTGAGAGGATTTTCACTGAGATGAGCTCGTTTTTCTTTAGGATAGGCCTTCAATTGAGCTTTAATTTCACATTTTTTAATGTCTCCAGATTCTACATCCGAGCCTTCGCTTTCGCTGGAGGAATCTAAAATTTGTTTCTAGGCTGCTTATAAGACTGTTAGCAGTACTTGTTGAAGGCCCATCAATGTTGCTTGATATACTACTTAACCGTTTAGCGCCTGAAGCTAAAAGCCGGTTATTGTCCGCACGCAGGTTAGACAGACTTAGAGCCATTTCAACAATATTAGAGTGGACTCTCTGCCCATGTACAAATTCGCATTCGAAAAACATTCATATCGTTTATTGCGAATTCGAATGTCGAATGCGAATGTGACGCGAATAATTCGTATAACGAATGCGAATGCAAATATTCGCTACATCCCTGGCATGTATGTATTTAGCTAAAATTTCTCGTTGATTTTTGACAACTTTTTTCCCATATGATGTTGCGCATTTTTTCCATAGCGTCACCTGAAATGCAAAATAACGTAACATCGTCACTGAAATGGAAAAAGTCGTGACAAATTTTTTTTTCATAAAACGATGTGGAGAGGTGTAATTCGATGAAATCCATCATAGCAATCAAAAAGTGAATTTTGAATTTTTTATAACCCCGCAGTACGGGGGAGTGACTACAGGATTGCTGAATCGGTAGCTACCTGATAAACACCGTCAATTACCGAACGACTACTTGCAGTGTATTTCATCGACTTCTTTTATAAGGCAATGTCCTAGGCGGTAGTCACCATCGGCTCTCTCTGCACTACCGGGAGTTACTAAAGTAGTCACTTGCGTGATTTATGGGCGCCCTCTGTCGTAGTTTTTCGCTATTCTACTTACGACTGGTTCGACTCTGCACTACCATGTGCATTACCACGGGTTAATAGAGTAGCTAATTACCTTGGAGTCGGTGCAGTAGCGGTTCAAAAGTAGCGATTGACTCCAGGAGTACTGGAGGGAAGTTACGACTTTTTGAATTTCAGTGGCGATGTTGTTACGTTATTTTGCATTTTAGGTGACGATATAAAAGAAGGCGAGCTGGATCCGCCACTGTACATAAGTAATCCTTATTTTAAAAATTAACTAAATCGGCACGTGAAAGTATTTTTTCAAAATATTTCTAGCCCCGCGCCACCTACTAGCAAAATATTTTGTGAAATTATTTATTTACATGTTCATATCTAAGTAATGTTCATGTTCTAAATGTGAATCAAATCGGACCATTAACACGGATTTTCCATATATCTCCATCGTCAAATGTTTTGTACAGTTATTCCCTTTCGTGATAGCCGTTTTTGTTGTTCGGACTCAACTAAAAACCATTGGATATATTTCAATAAAATGTTCGGTGGTTATAACTTGTAAGTATCTTTGGCCCTTTATAGGCTACTAGAAAACTCGTTGGCGGCGCTGGAGTTGAGTTATTCATAAAAGTCGTCAGATTCAAAATATATGCTGCCTGCATGATGAAAAATACCTCTTAAAAAATAGACCCACTAGTTTTTTTCTAAATATAAACTTAATCATACCATAAATAGATGCAGGGTTTTGAATTATATAGACAAACACTCATTAACACATCTGTAGGTATGTACATTAGGGTTCCCATCGATATTTTTTTTTTAAATTTCGAAACCCTACCCCTTAATTTCGTCCTTTTTTATGAGAAATATTATTGCCTATTTTTAAAGATTTTTGAAAAATCATTTAGAGGCCATTGCCATTTTAGTTCAGAAAATACGGTTTTGTAGTTTAATCAGTTTTTGGTGAAAGCTTCCCAAAGTTATTAAAAATACGATTATGACTTTTTCGAGTGACAACGAAAAAATTAGTAATTTCGGTACTTTATCGCGTACACAAACATTTTCGTTTTTTTTATCTTAAAGGTGGTCAGGGCCGTCAAGGGAAAACTCGGGCACCTATACACAAATTGTATTAATTTAAAAGCATGTGATGTCAGAAACATCGGATCGGAATATATTTATAATAAAAGCCTATAACGAAAGAGCAAGTACACTGTAAAAAAATAATAACAAGTTGTGATTCTGATATGTCTGGTCCCTATAAAGGCCCGGGCCCGCAGGGATTCACCCCTTTCGCCCTCCCTCTCGTCGGGCCTGTAGGTGGTGCATCAAGAGTGTGCCCATACTCCTTTGGTTTAGTGCCAATCATTGGGTCATGAAGAAATTAACGGTAACGCAGTATTGAAGTCAGCTGTATTTTTTGCTTACAAATTGGTATATTACCGTTTGGAATCTGATGGGTCATACAGCTTGAACTTCGAGAGGTCACTCATCAGTTAAACGAGTTAGACTAGACGTCTTGTTAATTTAACCTCATTTGACAAGTTAACCCCTAATAGCCCCTCTCCAACCAAAATTCTGTATCTTTTTTTGTTTTAACTCTCGAATAGCTAGAGCATTAGAATACGCTGTATGTAGCAATAACAACTAATATAGTCTCACACATCGCATGTCATATTCATCATAACGCCATTAACATAAACTTACCAAGAATAATTACAACATAACACATACACTGTACATACATAGTTACATACATATATACATACATATGTATGTACATAAATACAAATGACTAACGACACTTTGTATTGTCGAAAATCACGTATGGGGAACAAATGTCCTCAAGAAATAGTCTCGCTCATCAGCTAAGCCTGTAGCCAGCTACCCATTTGCAAACAAACCAATTTCAAGCTGTCGCGTCGTTACGCGCCTTGAAAATTTTAATTAATTTCAAAAGTTTTACCAAGATTTACCCAGCAATTAGTCAAATCAGAGCTACAAGAAACCAACCAAAAGCTGAGAGGTAGAGTCAAGCGCGGCAGGTGGGCAGGCATGTCGACCAGCAGACAGCAGAACGACAAGCAGTTAAGTAAATAAGGAGGAAGAGCGAGACTACAGCGAGCAATGCAAGGACAACAGAGCATGGAATCCAATGACGACAAGATACTTGCATTAAATATAAATATACATAAATACATTATTTTACTTGAAATATACTTGTTTGGAGACATGCGGTTAAGAGGCACAAAATGTCTCAATCAGCAATATAACGACACAAAAGACTAAAACAAAACTTTATATGAATGGAGTGCCGTCAAAGTTCTGTCTACGCTGGACTGATAGTCTGGCGGTCTCCAAATTTTGAGGCAAAGTATGTGTGGAGTTATTTCTATTGAGTGCAGAATGATGTAAGTTTTCTCTCTCCATATAAATTGCATAACGTCTGGGCAAATAAATGCTATCAAATAGAGCTTCGTTATTCTAAACGCAAATACATTAGAGAACAGCTAAAAGACTCGCTGTATGTTTCATGAGCTGGAAAGCTCACAGTATTTCAAATATTTTTGCTGTTCTATTGCGTTGAAATACTCATTACATTCAGAGAGTAAATTCGACAGGCGAAAGGAATCTGGATTCCGTAATTTAATTTTAAATATATTCCTTTAAGAGATAACATGATGAACCAGCAACCCTAGGCCTATTTTCATATTGTAAGTCCTGTATCAGGTTAAGGTTAGCTAATAACTTCATAAAAGCACATTAGGGGAGTCGTAGAAATGGGATAGAATACATGAAAGTCAATAATTTTCGATCGGAAAACTCTGCTTCTCTTTACGAGACTTCCAATAATAATACTCAGTTGGCCGCTGTGGTGTAGTGGTTAGCAGTTAGAAAAAAGGTGGTTTCTTAACAGCGGTCGCCAATCGGCAGGCAATGTCAAACCTCTGTATGTATTTCTGCCATGAAAAACAGCTTCTCGTAAAAATACAATCGCCGTTCGTAGTCGGCGCAAAACTGTAGGACCCTCCTCTTTGTGAAACAACATCAAGGCGCACGCCACAAATCGGAGGAGAAGCTCGGCCAAACACTTACATATGTGTAAGCGCCAATCTATTATTATTATTATTTAACTCGTTTTTTGTTATTTTTTGGCCTTATAACAATTATATTCAACAATTTTTATTGAGCTCGAGGCCGTTTTTTAAAGAAAATTTATTGTGGAAAAGCAACAATAATTTGAAAAAAAATGGTAGAAGTGATAGCTATTTCGGAAATCACCACATTTCCTCATCAGACTTCTTTCAGTAGGATTCGAACCGACGATCCCACTGACTCAGCCAGTTGCCTATGCACCGTGCTAAGTACGCCTTGTAAATTATCGTTTGCTTTTTTCCACTATTTTATTTTTGTTATGCCAACCCAATAAATTTTCTTTAAAAAACGGCCTCGAGCTCAATAAGAATTGTGGAATTGTTGATTATTATTTAACAATTTTTTAATACTAAATATCATCTACACATAGGTTCCCCAGAAAATACAATGGGAACTTTCCTGACGAGAAACGCAAAAAAAGGAATTCCCCAAACTCGAACAAGAGAATATGAGAAATAAGAACCTCCCACATAGATTTTTCCAAACTCTTTCAATGATCATTACAAATTAATTGATTTAAATCAACTCCAATTTCAACAATAATATCTATCGCAACCTTGCAAAAGAGAAAAGGCAATTAACGAAGTTTAGGAATAAAAATAATTGTATGAAATTGCAAACTATTACATTATTTTTTCTACAAGGACGCATCTTCCCATTTTGAACCGACTTCACAAAAAGTTTATAATTTTTTTTTTATCGGAAAGGTGGTACCTTAAGCGTAGTCCCATACTAATTTGGTTTGGTTCCGATCATTGGATCGTGAAGAAATTAACGGCTAAAATTTTCATACATGCATTGAAGTCGGTTGTATTTTTGCTTAAAAACTACTAGTCTATTTCAAAGAACTCACATTAAACACATTTCTTTTATTACCATCACATGAACGTACTGTGCTTCGTTTTTGATTAAATATTATGACAGCCTCATCTACGAATTCTCTGGCAAATTTCGACATCAAGCAATTTTGCACTCCACAAATCCTTTCATTACAGTGTCAATTACAAATTCATCATGCCGCACTGCCACAGGGCACACTAATGAATGTGTGTGCGGCTGAGTGGATCAAAAGCCGCAAATTTGTCGAGTGTTCAAATATGCAGCAACAAGGGTAATAATATGCTGTCGTTTTAAAAATGGGGAGAAGATAGCAAAATTTTGAAATTTTAGTTGGTAAATATTTGTAAAAGGAAACTTTAAAAGCTTGATTTAATTGGGGGGAATTTTGGCATTCCTTAAATTGATTTTTGCATTTCTTCTAAAGTGTTGGAAATTTTGGAAAGACTTTGTTGAGTGCATTTTTAAATATTCATACTAAGTACCCCCATTGTATGAATATTTAAAAATGCGCTTAACAAAGTCTTCCCAAAATTTTTCTACACTTTAGAAGAAATGCAAAAATTAATTTAAGGAATGCAAAAATTAATTTAAGGAATGCCAAAATTCCCCCCAATTAAATCAGCATAGCTTTTAAAGTTTCCTTTTACAAATATGTACCAACTAAAATTTCAAAATTTTGCTATCTTCTCTAAGTCTTGCAAAATCCTCGCACGATGTACGTATGGCTATAGGAAAACTTTGCAAGCCGCGCAATCTGTACCTCGTGCAAGAATTTTGCTAGACTTAGGGAATACACCTAATATGTGTAATGATAGCAGATTTCGCTTTACTGAACATTACTGTTATAGTAGCTAGTAAATTAGTAAATTAATAAATTTTACCACTTTGAACTTACACGCATACAATAAAAATCTGCCGACTTTGTTACCTCATTATCAAGCCACAAAACCAACTTGACGCAATTTAAATGTGGTAAACTAAAATTATTTGTATGCCAGTAAATAACTGCCGTTTCACTTGTTCAATTAAATGCCAACACTTATACGAATGCAAACAACTGCTGTTTCACTTGTTCACATGTACGATTGCTTGACTGTTATAAATTTCAAACCACGAGTTTGTGTGAGTGCTGGGCTTATTATTGTAAGTATCTACTGCAATACTAGTTTATTTGCACTTGTCAATGGCATTATTTAATATTTAGTGTAATTTTGTTGTTGCTACTACTAGTACTGATATTCTTGTTGCTTTATTGGCATTCAGTAGCGCGCTTTGTTGAGTGAAAAATAATAAATAATTTTGCACAAAATAATTGGAATTGAAATTAAATATATATAGTTCACTACTTTGTTTTGCTCTTCTTATTGTTGCTATTTCAATTTCATCATAGCGGTTATTAGGTACTGTTTTTGTTGTTGCGCGCAGATACAATGTATGTGAGCGCAACTATGTATGCATACTTTGTGTAAAAGCGATAAATAATACACTTACAAAGTAGAAAATGGAGGTCAGCAGGCAATACACCGCAGGCGATGAAAGTAATACATAATTAAAATTGTATTGCAGATTGCAGACGCATATGCATGTTGCTTAAATTAAATTGTGAAAATTCAAAGTACCTACTTTTTAAAATAAACGAATTCGGTTTAATAAGATATAATAACAAGTAATTTTTAAGCAAAAACCAAACTGACCTCAATTCTCTTATAAAACATTATCCTGATCCAATGATCGGATCTAAACCAGATTAATATGGGGCCACCTCTGGGACATTACCTTTCCGATGCAAATTATCGAAATCGGTTGACGTGGTCCAAAGTTATGCGTTAACATACATAAAAATTCAAAAAATATTCCGACGAACTGATAACCTGCTCCTTTTTTGGAAGTCGGTTCAAAAATGAATTAATGTACGTAGCACGGAAGCAGGGAAGTCTAATAAAATGTTTGGAATATACATACAAATAACGTTAGGTAAAAATTTACATACATAAATTTGAACCGACAATACATACTTATATAAAATGCCAAAGGATTTTGATAGCCTACCTTCATTTAATATTAAAACATTTTAGATCTCGCAATTACGATTTGTGCTCGCAATTTGGCCTTCCATTTATTATAAGGCTACTATGCTAAACGCTTCTTTCCTTGTGATTCATTATATGATGTGATGCCATTTTTTGTTTCAGCTTATTATCAGGTTAAAAGGTTAAAGTTTTTCTAAACATCCTTTCATGGTGAACTCTGATTCAGTAACATTCTCCAAATAGTTTATATAGTCCATGTTTAGGCGCGACTTCTAACACCGAGCGCCTAATGCATGCTATACACTGCTCCATGTGCAAAGTTTGCTTCATTAAATTTATGAAATTTTTGCACATGCACTTCTCAACTGCCATGCAAAAAAACTTTCTAAGTTATAATTTGATGGCACTTCAAAGTGTGCTCGGCCTAGTCTGATGCGTCCGCCGGACAAGGCTTCCGGAGTTTTTTGCGGACTCTGCGTGGCTTGCAAGCATGCAGAGGTGGTACCAGACAGTTACCATTGGCCAGAGTGCCTACCAACTATTTTTTGGCCCAATAAATATTTTTTTATAAAAGAATACATGCAAACATGCACTGGTCTCCTCATTCACCGAGTTATTCAGTCCAAGTTAAAAAAAAATAGTGACGCGTTTTTTTAAGCGAGACCATTTCTTCAGATTCAGTCCAAGTTAAATGTATATCGAAATTAGAGTTTTGGGGAAACCGAAAGGATATCCATATTCATCTCAATAACATTAATATGCCTTTAGTTTCTTGCCCTAACACGTTGTGAAAGAAAAGATTTTGAAACCTTGCATTCCAAGGTCTAAACATGAACCGAAAGTGCATATTAGAATTACTGGATTTTGAAATATAAATTTTTTAAAGCAGAATTTTACTTTGAAAGTTAATTCTTTGGTGATAACAAGGGATTCTGGTCGATTAGTTTAAGGGGAGTCAATTATGGGGAGGAAGCCGTCCATATCCCCATATTTTTCGCGTTAGGGGAGGCCCATAAATTACTATATGTGAGTTATTATAATTTATTGCTTTTAGATAAACAAATGAATCAATTGCCGCCCTTTATGGACAATTTTAGCTTAAAAGTATAATAAATGAGCGTTAGGCAGCTGAGAGCTCTAGCTTTAACTAGCAAGGAAAACATTAATGCAAACCGGGAAAAAACAACTTTGAATGACTCAATTCAAAAGCGTTCAAAATGCTGGTTAACTCGTAAGATTGTTCTATTTCGTCGTTTCCTTAATCAAATGAGTGAAGGACTTCACATGACTACAATTAAATAATCCTTGCACACACATTAAGAGATTAAGTTGTCACTGGTGTTTTGCTGGTCAGGATTTGTTTCAGCTGCAGCTCCAGCGTCGACCGAAATGAAAACAAAATCAAATGAGTGGAAGCTCTCGAGTCAGTGGTGGCAATATACCTAGTGCCACTTTTTGTTGACCAAATTTACCATTCTGAAATGGAAGAATATTTTTCAATTGTCTTTTCTCTTGCACAACTCCTTCTACATACTTTGTTGTTTACACGCCTGCTTTTGCAGCTTTGACACTCATAACCATGTCGTTCAAATGCAAAGTGGCAACCGGAAAATGTGTGGAAAACATCAACACAAATTTACCACTTACAAAGGAGACGACACATCACTGCCAATGATACTGTCCGTCCCACTGAGGGACGAATTCGGAGCCACAGTTGTCGTTTGGTGCTCAGCCACCGAACGTCTCCGCCGGGCACTGGGCTGTCTATTTGCCTGTTCAGCTGCTACTGTTTGCCAGTACTGTTTTTTTTGCTGCTTATCCTTGTTTGCTCGTTTGTTTATTTGCGCTTCGGCTTGTTCGTTTGCTTGTACACTTCCGTTATACTAGTCATGCCTTAGCCAATGCCGTCTAGTCGGGATGTCTAACTCATATGCTGGCCTATACATTTGTCTGCTAGCTGCATTTACTATGCCGCTCAACTGGACAACATTGTTTATCCGCCTGTCTGTTCCAGTTTGTATTAGGCCGCAGCAGCTTGGTCTGGTCTCAGCTTTGTCATTGTTTTAGCAAATGCTTAAGCCGTTGACGGCAATAGGCAGTGGTGGGGGATTGAGATAAGCGGGGTAGGGTGTACGTTGCTGCTATCAGCGCTTTCTTTCTAGCGTGTTTTCAGTTTTGTTCGCCCGGTTCGCGTCTACTTGCTTTTCGCTTTGTATTTCTTGCCTTTGTCACTGTCACTGTCACTCGCCATTCAACTTTGGCGAGCTAAGTTGACCATGCAGCTATGTAGCTGGTAGCTGCATCCCATGTTGCAAGTTCTTTGTTGCCATATGCAAAGCGGCAAGAAGTTGATGACGACAAAGTACATACATACTTAGTTGGTGCGGAATGCGAGAGCTCCAGCTCGAGACTTTTGTAGCTGAGCTTCAGCGATCCGTCGACAAATGACACTCAGCTGCGTTAACACATCAAACGCGGACGTCAACGTGTGCAAACACTTCCAGAGTTATGTACGTACAAATGTATGCTTGCCTGTGTATTGACCCATTCACTCCTAGACTTCGAAAGTAACTTTCTGCGTAATATATTTTCGGCCCAGCTCATTTTCAGTGCTTCGCTTTTGGCCAAAGCTCATCCCTTTGCCAGCCGGAAAAGTGTTGGCTGCTCGCTTTTTAGCTGGCTGTCAAGATTTGTTTGATGTGTCTGCGCCTACATTTCAACACATGTGACTGCGAGTTCATCAGACGTCTACCGGACACATTTGCTCGACGGCGACGGTTATAAAAATCATGTGTAAGTGAGAGTAACATTTGTCTTGTCGGGTCTTTTGTTCCGACAATTAAATGTCATGTTTGGTTATGTGAGTGAGGATAACAAACAGGTTCAAATAAACATACATACTTCCATACGTATGTAGTGCAAAAAGGACAAACACAGCAACATCAGCCGTAGCAGGTCCTCTTAAGATCTCGTCCTCGTCATTAATGTATGCACCATTATAAGCTCCATTCTCCCTTCTACTGCAAGTGTGTTTTTTTTTGCTGCTTTTGTTTTAGTTGGGTTTTAACGACATTGTTAACAGCGTTGTTAAGTGATCCAAGACAAAGTGTTGAGACAATAAAGCAGAAAAAATGTTAATTAACGAAAAGTCATGGAGGTGAAGTGGAATAGGCAGGATACTTTGTAAAGCATCACTGAAGTGACGGTAATGAGTTGACAGTTCAATTAGGTCAATAGTTCTATGACCGCTTACTTGGAATCTCTTTCAGCAGAGTTTAATGTAGGGATGGGCGGGAATACATTTAGATTTTTACAAGAATTAATATTTGAGATAGAATGTTACTTCCTGTGCCTAATAGGTCGGTTAACTTTATCTATATGCAGATTTTAATCATTTAACTTAATCAGACAAGGGTAGAAAGTTTTTCCAAAATGATTTATAAATGACAGTTGATGATACTTTCCTTTCCAGTTCATCGGCCAATTCCGTGCCTTTTGCTGCCAAGAGTTGATCACCGTGATGGAAATGACCTATATGGGTTTCGAAAGTATTGCCATTGGATTGCCTGTTCAGATAATTAAATATTTATCTTTTCATCTTTGTTTACAATTTATGCAGACGCTGGTTGAGATATCCACCCATCAGCCTAAACAACTGTGGGACTATTGCAATTGCAAGTCTGGTGCCAGTTTCAAACATACATTTGAATATGATAGCATCTATTCTGTCAAGAATATGTATATTAATCTATATAGGTATATGTATGTTCATATGGAATCCGTGTAAAGAAACTGGTTTGTTCACACTTCTCGATATGGAGTTATCGTTACCAATGTTCTGTCAATTAGAATTTATTTATTCAAGAAGTCAGAAAGTGTCAGAGGGTGTCCTAAAACTGTTCATTAATTATCCCGTAGGAAAACTTACAGACTCTATGCTATCGAAGCTGACCTTTATAAAGCCCTACAAGCTAATAAT